CACACACACACACACACACACACACACACACACACACACACACACACCTGTGTATGGAATGAGTCCCTCGAGGTGGGTTCGGGCGCCCTGGTACTGCAGCAGCTCCTCAGGCGGCAGGTGTGTGAGGAGCACCTGTAGGACGGCCTGGGCATCCTGACAGTTTCTGGCGTTGGTGTTCCACACGGCACAGTAGCGCAGGAGCGACTCTGAGTGGGGGGGTGAAGTCATAACGGGGTCACGTGGTGACAGCAGCCAGTGGTGAAGTAGGAAAGGGAAGGAAGGAATCAAAAGAGACAGACTTTATTAGTCTATTTTAACTTCTCCTTCTTTACTTTTAGACATTTCTTTGTCGTGTATGTTCCATCATTAGAAAGGTTGACGGACATCGTTGATCTGTTACCTTTCTGATCAACTCGTAGTTTCAGCACCGTCTTCTCCAACAGCGTGTGGCTATTCTCCACCTGACGGATCGCTAGAAGCAAAAGAGAACAACATGTCAGAGACATCGGACAGTCGGCTGTTTGTTCATCGTACCTTTGTAATGGTGTCTGGGTTTAATGTCCACACATGTCGGGTCACACTTTGATTGATGCATTATGAATCCTGTCCATGTAGAATAAATGAAGAATGGCTATTTTTTTGTGTGTCATTAGTCTGTGACGACACATAAAGCACTTAAGAGCCGGTGGATGAGCAATGACACCGCCTCATCCTGTGTTACTGGAACTTCTTCCTTTCAAAAAAGGTAAACATCTCAAATTTTGAATTATATATAATTCTACAAATTAACATTGGTGAGTGGAAACTGTTGTATAAATACTTTTAGGAAAACCCACAGGTGCACAGCTGAGATTGGCTCAACTCATATCCTCGCATGACTGGATGTGCTGCAATTTTGGATTATCAAAGATGTGTCAGCCTTTTGTTTGACAGCTACTGAATGACATACTGATCCACCCTCTGCAGGACTGCACATCATGTCCTACACGCAGAGCTCAATGTCTTTTATTATGGCTTGTTGTACTGATGGTTAAACGTTATGTTAACTACAATACAATTTAAACTGCCTTCCACTTTCCAATCGCAAAGTTCAAAGGGTTAACAACAGTCCGTACGTGACTTGTGTCACATACCAATGTGTTGAGAGACATGACGACGATTCAGCTTCCGATTAACAAAATGTCACTGTACATCTTTTGTTTTGAAAAATAAGTTGTGTCATGGGACAGAACAAAAGAGCCGAAATATTGTGCTCCATGAATCAACTCTTAAAAAGGGGAGCAGCCACCCACAACGAGTGACGACAGGATTGACGAGATAACCACAGGTGAAGCGAAGGACAGAGATGCAGTGAGTACAGAGGAGATATATTGTGGGACAAAAGCTACAGAACACATTTAAAACCATTGTGTACACCGCGAACAACCAGTAGATGTCTGAGTAGACGCATCCTGGTAGCCTAAAGGTTTAAAGCATCTCTATTTCCTGTCAGCTCTGAAGTGTCACAATAATTGCCTCAAAAATAGTTGTAGCTAAAGTACCTTTAATCACAGCGAGCACAGTGCGAGGCTGGTCCAGGGAGATGGCGAGACCCAGGGCCTTCAGGTACTTCTTCTCATGGAGCAGGTTGGACAACTCCTGCTGCCTTCAGACACAAGAAACACACACACACACACACACACACACACACACACACGTTCATTAACAGGCACATGCAGAAATATTTGTTCCTCAATGTTTACGGCAAATTAGCTCAAACGGTGAACGTCCACAGAAATGAGATACCAAAAACAAAAATGCAGTTCCTCGATTATGGATAGAAACCCATAAAATACACAAAGTCAAAAACTTCTACGTATCACATAAAAATGTCTTGACTACATCGATTTCTTTCACTACAATAACAAAGCGTTTAAGCATCTTTTACTCCGAGAAATCCTGCCAGATAAATATTGACTTGTTACCCAGGATAACATAAACATTCATTATACACATAATTAATTGTCTGAGACCTGAATTTCCCTCCTTCTTTTCAGCACACACACACACACACACACACACACACACACACACACACACACACACACACACACACAAAGCCAGGCCTGACCTCAACCTAACACAGTCTGTTTATTTATCAGGCGACATGATATCGCGACAAGGGAAACCAAAGCCGGGTCTGAAGCTGAGTGATTCCTCCAGGACAGACTTTGTTTGTGCACCACTTCAGTTCGAGCGATCTGTCAAGAGGATGTAGGGCTGAATGGCACGCTCTTATTTTGTCGCATCTGATCAACTGTTCTAAACTGAACGTTAATGGCGTGTGCAGCTTACTTAAGTATCTGATCCTCCTGCTTGGCCTGCTCCTCTGCCAGCTCCACCTCAGTCACATCCTAGCAGTGGACAAAACACAACATTGTTGTGGTTACACATTGATCCCTGCAGGGGAAACTCCCAGTTAGAGTAAAACGAAAGCTAAAACATAACCAACTAGATCAGATGTGTTCCAAAGACCAAAATTGATAGATTTGTTAAATAATAACTCTTGCATTTGTATTTCATTTATTGAGTGATTTATTACCCAAAGGACAGTTATGGATTACCCGGCAGTGAAGTTTGACTGCTAATCGATGCAGCTTCATTCTCTCTGCGTCCTCTGTTCAACAGGTGACTATCAATCACATCACACTTACCACCCACACAGTGATGTTGGAGTCGGCTGAACCCGTCACCATCTTGTCATCTTTGCTGCTGGAGTGGAGACCCCACACTTTGTCCTGGTGGGCGTCCAGCGTCTTCACACACTCGTTGGTCTTTATGGTCCACAGCTTCACTAAACCATCCGAGCCACTAAGGACAGAACATCAGTTGGGAGAGTTGAGTTACAACTGTGTGAGGGGGATCCACTACAATGCAGATAAAACACAAGTCTATACTACAATCTATGCTAATTCTAGTGAGGTGTTTAGCGTGTCTACGTTGCCACTGGAGAAGAGAAAAGAGAACGTAAACTCAAAAAGAGGCGGACATAATTAATAAATTAAGTGATCAACAGAAAATGTGTCGATTATATTTTGATATATCTTTTACGTTACAGTCGTTTAACCAAGCAAAATGGAAGATGTTTTCTGGTTTGAGCCTCTCACATCTAATACCTTTAAACAGAATGTCGTTGCCTTTTGGACTGTAATTGTGACAAAAAGTTGTCTTGGGTTCTCAGAACTTTTCGTTCACCTTACGATTAAATCAAAAACAAATTGGCATATTCATTTAAAGTCAGCATACAGATGAAAAATGAAACAGATTTTTGAGTGTGTAGTGAATGTGCACTATTCTCACACAAAGCAGCCACTCACAGCTGGAAAAAACAAAAAGCTGCGGTTTAAGTATCAAGTGTTTTCCTATCAAGCTGGTAACTTAATATCATTTTGTAAAAGTTTGCCACCAGCAGTCAAAACACAAGAACAATAGAAAATTCCTTTCACTTACTTTTCTTTCCATTAACTCTGAATAGTCCTCGTGAGCCCAAAGCCAGTTTTTGGATCGTGCCAATCAGATAAAACATGATAAGCACACATGAGGGTTTGGAGCTCACGTTTCCTTGTGCTCAGCACAAAGTGAGGCTTTTGTAAAAAAAAAAAATGAATTGACACCGCAGTGTTTCCAGAACTAACCTGCAAAAGTGAAGTAAAAAAACGAAGATAACATTGTTCTGGAGAAAAGCTTTGCATGTGTGTGGTTACCTGGTGAGCAGCTGAGTGCCTCGGCTCACAAAGATCACCTTCAACACCGATGCATCGTGACCCTCAAATGTCTAAAAAATGACAAACAAATATCACATATATACTTTAAAGCCACATAAATATCACAATTACAGTCATCTATGGGGAAATAACTCATTCATAACTCCAACAGACATTTAAAGTGAGAGATGTGATGTCTGTGCATAAAAAAGGACACTTGACGAGGGAGGGATCCGACTGCACACATACAACTGACGGTACTCTGTGACACATGCACACTTCTCGTGGCCCACCTTGAGGCAGCTGAAGTCTTGCAGGCTCCACAGTTTGGTGGCGCCGTCTGCGGAGGACGTGGCCAGCACCTGGTCGACGGGAGAGAAGCAGACGGCCCAGACGCCGCGCCGGTGGCCCCTGAAAACCCCCAGCATGCCCACGATCCCCTCCGCCGCCAGCGACCACAGCTTGGCCGTGCGGTCCTGGGACCCCGAAGCCAGCAGCTTGTCGTTGGGAGACACCGCCACGCTGTTTACATCCTGGAGGAAGCAAGGGCGGGAGATGAGGAGATGAGGACTCACCAACTTAGTAAATGCAAGTTTGAGGGAAGTAACTTCATTGGACATGGGAGAAGTTTGCCTTTAGGGCTTTCTACCAGAACTCTCCTTCGGTTTAGGCAAAAAACACACTTTGTCTGGTTAAAGACAACATCATGCTGGGCTGAAATAAACCCTTTCTGGTAGAAAGCCATGAAGGTAAATTTCTCCAATGTGCAAATTTCTTCGAAAACAAGATGGAAAAAAAGCCACGTCAAGGCATAAAACAAAATGGCATTTCTAACAAATCTCTGAATTCCTCTCACGATACTGCCCGGATGTTTTACACGACAACAAAAGACACGCTATGGAACCAAGTGCTGCTGATGGACAGATTGTTGATTATTGTATCGTACATCTCGACTCAGGTGTGTGTGTGCAGGCGTGACAGGAAATTATAGTCTGTTAAAACTGGACATTCCAGCGACTTCCTAGCTGTAATCAGTTCCACTGGTGAGCACTTCCTTGTGTTAAGAGTCACCCTGCAAGGACCTGTTTACAAAAGAGATTGCTGAAGACTGACTCACCTGTGTCTGTGTGTGTGTGTGTGTGTATACATTTAAGTAACCGGGTTAATGTAGTCTTTCTGCAGTAACCGGATTCATTAAATGTCATTACAACAACAAATCTTCCAGAATGGTCAAAATGTATTTAATACAGACACAGTTTTTCTACTAGAGTTCAGTAAATGTCCACAAACCACAGTGAAAATACTCCATTGTAAGTTTAAGTACTGCATTGAAAATGTTGAAGCATGGAAGTATTATGAGGAAAATGTACTTTAAGTATCAAAAATAAGTACTCAATGGAGTGAAATAGCCCCTGTGAGTGCGAGTTTATCTAATGATACACTGGGATATACCATTATATAGTATATCATTCGATTATTACTATTGTTTAAGAAGAATGTCACTCTTGTATTTGGTTCAGGTGAAATGTGATTAATGCATTTATTGTTTGGTTCATAAAAAGTATCGAAATAGAGAGAAATCACAATTACCCAGAGTTCAGAGTGACACCAACCGATTGTATAAAACCTCAAAATTCTTCAGTTTACTGTAATTTAAGAAAAGGAAAAACAGGAAGTCCTCACTGGATTATGACTATGTGCGCATTTGAACTACAGGTTTCAGACGAGGAACGCGTGTTGTCGGCTGTGCAGCAGGAAGAAGCCATGAAGCTACAGACTGAAACTAAAGGATAACAACTTCTAGGAATGGTCGTTGCTGAACAGTCAGACACTTCTGCACTGTGAGGATTAACTCTGCACTCTCATTACAGTCTGTTCTCTCCATGCAGCAAAATGCTCTGACAAACATTCTTTTAGAAATAAAAGTAAGCCGTAACCTGATTGGATCTTGTTCCATGAATAAATGTTAACAATGACTTTTCCTCGCTGTTTCCCAGAAAAGGGGATTAGCAGAGGAGTACGTCACTACACGAGTAGAAAGAAAGAATTTAAGACAATGGCGTGTCAATACCCTTTCTCTTCAGCGCATTCATTATCCAGGAAACAGGAAATATAAAAAAAAACCCAAATTATAAAAAAAAAGAATTCTCTTCCTCTGCTTATGTCATTAATAAAATATGTAGCACACCTTGTTTATGTACTTAGTTTATCATCTCAAGATTTGGTTTTAATTATTATCCTTATCTCCGCCAGAAGATTATGTATTTGTTCATGTGTGCACTTGGCTGTGTGTGCGAGTGTCTGTCCACAGCTAATCTCGCAGACTGCTGGATCCATCACTCAAGTATTTTTGTTGTGTTGATATAAATATGCTCAAGCACCTCTTGTGGTTGCAGTGATCCACATTGTTGAAAACGTATTTTATTGACTGTTTAATAGAGTCATTGAAGGCTGGGTCCTCACTACTCTTCACTGGCTGGTGGGAGGCTGAAGCATACTGGGCAGCAGAGGACTTTTCTCAGGACTGAAATGTCGACTCTTGGTAAAAAAAAAAAGTGATAAAAAGGTGCTGGAATTTACTTTTTTCTTTGGAATTAGATATTCAGGAGAATTGATGAATTGAGGGCAAGTGATGTTGCCTTCTACTCAAGTTGTTTCTCATCATGCAAAAGCCCACAGGATAGTTTTAGTGAACATCCCTCGATCTGAGATGTATTCTAGTGGTATCTTATGAAGGATAAATGCATTGGAAATAATATTTTGCAGGATGTTTAAATGTTGCTCTTTTCTTCTTCCTGTGTAGAGTTTTGTGCTCGTACCTTGTCATGTGCCTTCTCCGTGGCGCGGGGGGTCAGCTGGTGTATGTCCGCTCCTGTAGTAGACAAGTCTGTTGGGAGATCCCAAACCTTCAGGGTACAGTCCTGACTGCCAGACACTACGAAAGACGCTTTCATCCTGGACACAAAGATGGATAATCATTACCGTCACACAGACTCATTAATGTCCTTCACTTTACGACCAATTCCTGCCGGGACACGTGACAAGAAACACGTGTGTGTGTGTGTGTGTGTGTGTGTGTGTGTGTGTGTGTGTGCAGGAGTGTTACCTGGAGCAGGTGATGGAGCCCACCGCGTTAGCGTGGTTGGAGCCGTGAGCCACACAGTGCACCCGACCACTGTCACCGTCCATCTGCCACACACGCACTGACCTGTCCTAAAGACAAAGACACAACACGCACCAATTACCTCACCGTTAAACATAAACTCACAACCATGAGTGATCATACTGCCTCATCTCAGACATCGCTATTACAAACTGGAAACATTAGGCCACTAATTTGTAACTAATTAGCTCATTAGCTTACTGTGGCACATTAGCTTTGAGGTGGAAACTGAAATGTTGATTAATGTGTGCTGTCCCAGGTAAATAAATACATTTTTTTGTTTTTAATTACTGTAGAAACATGGCGGTGTAACGTGGCGGACAACAATTCGTAGTTTCAGGTAATTATAAACTAATGTAAACATAGTTATGAATATGAAATTACACATCTGCCAATAAATTCCTCTTAATGCTACACACTGATCCTCTAACAGAGTTCACTGTGAACACTCGTTGTTCCCTTAGTTTCGAGGGCTGGAAGGTGTTACGGTGTGAGCTCACCTTTGCACAGCTCGCAAAGAGAAAGCCCTTTTTGAACACGTCCAGTGACAGGACGGTATCTGTGGACAATGAACATATAGAAATAGCAGTGAATGTCAGAATAGATAATCTTCTCTCCAACCTGCTCAGCAAGTCACTTTTTAAACACCATGAAGCTGAGATAACCCGATGGTATCAGATTTTGTACTTTTTTACTTAGTTGATATTCTTACTATTTATTACTGTGATCCTGTGAATTTCCCCACTGCGGGACTAATAAATGATTATCTTATCTTATCTTATCTTATCATATCATATCTTATTACCAGTGTGGTAATATATCTGCAACTGCTGCAAGGTTTTCATTCCCAGTCATCCATGTTTCTCCAAGTCATGCAGCTATTGCAGCTTTTAGAAACTACAGAAAAACTTGCAAAAATAGACTGAAGAATAACTGTTTTACCTACATTCATTGTTCTTACAGCGTCTGACCCAGACACATGGTGTGGAAATGTTTTCAAGACAGATAAATTAATAATAATATATATATATATATTTTTTATTTATTTATTTATTTTTTTTGGAAACCTTCTGCCCTCTGGTGATTAAATAAACGTACTGCTTTGCATTTCACATCGGTACTTGTTTACACATGCTGCCCTCTGCTGGTTACTGACCTGTGTGTCCGTAGAGGATCTGGCAGCTGTTGGTGAGCAGCTCAAACACCTTCAGCTGGCAGCTGTTGGTGGCCACCACAATGTGGCTGTCCCCTTTACCCAAAAACTTCACGTCCAGCACTTCGTCATTGTATCCCACAAACTGTGAGAGAGTGGACAGAGGGAACAACAGAAGATGGGCGAGGGTGACCATTAATTATGTATGAATAATCATAAAAGATGCCCTGAATGGCCGGAGTCTCTAGTTTGATGATGAAGTTGTCCAGAACAATTTGCAAGAGACAAATGTATCGACCTCCACCTCAGTACACACCTGCTGCTGTGTGGTGAGACCAGGCAGCTGGTAGAGCACAATGTTGTGCTCCGCTGTGATTGTGGCCAGTCTGGAGGAGGCAGGCAGGTGAAGGAGGTACGTTAGACCGCGGGGGTCGTCGTCCTTCTCTTCCTCTTCCTCAGAGACGGCCGTGAGGGTCTGGGCGTAGACACAACGCGCCGTGCTGGCTTCCCACACTCGCAATACACCTAAAGGTGAAGAAGGGAGACGGGGTGAGAGACAGAGACATTCAAAGAAAAGCTCTGAGGAATTGAGGTCACACAAAATATGGATTCATGCACGGCAGCACAAATTAGATGTTCGGGACAACTCAAGAGGCAAACCTTTGCTGCCTGCTGTGATGAAATGCAAGTCTTTGCTCTTCACTCCAATCTGAGACAAGTCCTCACCCTCAGGCAGCAGCACAACACCCTCCACGGCCTGACGACAAAGACAACACACACAGAGAATGAAGCTGCAGTCTTTTTCCAACATGAAGAGTACAAAAATATTGATTCTTTCTTCATCAAATAATACATGAATATCTCCCCGTTGTCTTACCTCGTAGACCGGCACAGTTCTCTTGGCTTTCCGAGACTTCAGGTCCCACACTGTGCAGATCTTGTCTCTGCCCGAACTGCAAATAAAGATCGGCACACAATCACAGCAAGAAGAAGAAAGAAAGAAAACACTCCCCATGAGATGACCCCAAAACTTTAGATGTTGTGAGTAACAGCCCATCCATCGGGTGGCTGAGTGTACGGTACCTGACCATGGTGCCGCCGTCGGGACTGAAGCTGAGGGAGGTGACAGCGCTGTAGTGGCTCTGCAGCACACACACACACTGACTGGAGCGCAGGTCCCACAGCCGAATGCCACAGTCCAGAGAGGAGGAGAAGAGCTGCAGCCTGCTGATGTCTGGGTGGAACTGGACCAGGCTGCAAAGATACACACGAGTATGTTACTGAATTTAGTTATACACTAAAGCTAAAACCTGTAACTTTCAAACATTTTATGGTACATATGTTAATGTATATGTTTACTATAAATTATTAAAGAAAAATTAAAAGACACCAATATTAAAAACACTGTATTTTTCGAATTGGAATATCTGAAAGTCAGATCTTTACTGGCCTTCAACACCAGCAAACAAAGTACATCCGAATCACCTTTATTGGCCAAGTGTGTGTGTGCATACATGGATGAATTTGACTGTTTTTTGCATCTCTCTTGACAAAAAAGGAAATAATAGCTAGGAAGATCAACAAAGTCGGGCATAAAGGTAAATAATAGACAGGACTTTTATGTACACAAGTATGAAACAATAGGCGTGTATATATATATATATATAGTGTATATATACAAGTCAAATACATTGCTCAATCCTATTAGTTACTTATACAGACTTATGGCATATAAAAAATATATTTTAAGATAATACTTAAAGCAATTCTAATTATTTAATGATTTATTCACTGATGAATCTTCATGAAAAAAAGATTTTTGTAGAAAAACATGTTTATGTATCTCAAAGTAAGATAAAGGAGAAAAAAGTAGGAATGACATAGTGATCTTGAGTATACAAGTATTTGAATGAAGAAACAACTTCTGTTAATACATATTATTCAAAGCATTTCTTGTTCAAAGATATTACAACTTACTGAACAACACCAGATGAGCCTTTAAGGTTGTGTGTGCAGTACTGCTTCACCACATCCCAAAGCTTTATAGTGCCATCACAGCCACCTGCAAGACCACAAGAAGACAAACACTGAAAACTGCAAAACGTCTATGTAGCAGAGATCAGGCAGAAAGACGGGACACAAAAGACACAACTTATTGTCAATAATTGCTGACCTGTGGCCACGAGTGTAGAGGTGGAGTCAAAGGTCATACTGGCCACAGGAACAGTGTGAATGGCCCTCCAGGAGCGAGTACACTGAGCTTGCCTCCAGTCCCACTGCTTCAGCAGCAGAGCTCTACTAGCCGTTACCAGCATCTGTGGTGGAAAGCCGAACAGAGACACACATGTGTACTGAATACTTTCTCACAGAAGAACATCGAGCAAAAACATCCAAATTCACACGATGAAGTTCGACTGAAGTGATGACAGGCGCTCGAAGTGTTGGCTTTACCTCATCGTCACAGCTGAGTGCAAAGGATGTGATGTCCTCTTGATCATCCTGCAATTACATAATGGACAGACAGGATTGTTCAATTAACAATATGACACAAACAAAGCTAATATTTACATTTGAGAAGCTGGTACCAAAAAAAAGTTTGACATGTTTTGTTTAGTAAATCACAAATGATTAACAAAATTCATGCTAATTGGCTTTATGTCGGTCAATTAATCAATTAATCAGTTTAGCTCGAATCATATTACCAACACTATATATATGTAATTCATCATGAATAAAATCAAAGTCATAAAGCCTGCATAAAGTACTATACATCTTTACATTTATGGCATCACAGTAAATAAAGGAAGTAGTACTTATGTAGGGAGGCAACACACGCTCTATTCTGCTGGGCATTATTCTATGACAGTAGTTATTCTGCTGTTGCAAACATTAAAGATATAAGGCTCTGTCCTTCAAAGGTAACCACCCACTCTGTACTCACATGCTGAACACTGTGGACAATCTTCCCTGTGCTGATCTCCAAAACGTTGACACGAGATTCACACGTGCAAAAGATGTACTGTTCATCTTTGCTGATCTGGAAAACAAACAGACAATGAGGTTATTAAGGACCATCAGAGACAAGTGCAACATGTATTATACACTGATTATAGCAACACAGACACGTTTGACACCAAACACAAGGCAGCCAACTCACCTGCACTTTTCCTCCTTTGTAAAACGGCTCAATCTTGCTGTCAACGACATAACTGTAAGGGGAAAAACATGAATATGAATATATGTTGTACCAACTTCAAATGACACTATAAGCTAGCTTGTGTTAGCCAGCTAGCAAGGTTTGCAGCCTGCACGTGCGATACATCACAAACTCACTTGGTTTTGAATTGAAGGTTGGGGTTTGCCATCTTGCTCACGTTGAATCCCCAAACTTAAATATTTTTTTGTCAGCTACAGTTAGTTAATTACTTATTTCTCACTTCACACGTTGGCTGAAGTCAACACATTCCGCATGTTGGTGGTTGGTACCCGAGTCGCACACAATGTACGTCATCTGAGCGCACTGCGCTGTGATTGGCCAGACGGGTTTTGCTCGTAACACAGCATCTACTGGCAACATGTAAACAAACATGAATTCTATGAAGAAAACGTGAAAACTATTTTTTTATGTGGAATAAATACGTTTATAAGTTACGTAGGTGAATGCTATGAGATCATTGTAGTCTTAACAGTAACAGTGACATTTAGATTGAGTCCCCGACTCTAACAATAGAGTCACCTGGGTTTATTCATGTTCACAAGTTCCTGTTTTGACGCGTGGAGGCTGAGCTTTGGTGCTAGAACAGCAGGGAAAGGACGCGCTCCATAATGAGCGCCATTATCTCCCTTCGTTTTCGTAATTTACTGTTTTCAGTTGTCCACACAAACTCACACGCACAGGGTACCTCCTTCGCGTTTTGTCAGGAATGTTCATGTGTGTGTTGTATTGATAACGCGGGTGTGTGTTTCGCGTGTGACATGTGAGTGGACCGATACGGAGTAAGCCAGCGCCGGGAATGGAAACACGGTGAAGAGAGAAGATTGTCATGGTGAGTACACAACCGCTTTTGTTTATTTATGAATTTGTCGGTTTAGGACACTGTACTTACTATTACACATAGGGTTATACCCTTAGCACAGAGCCTAATATCTTCAGTGACCTGTGAAATTTGCTTTCCTTTGAAATACATGGTGAGTGTCATGTTAGTTTTTATTATTAGATATTATTATTAACTAAAAATGAAATAATGCCAAACATCATGTGTTATAAGCATTTTGTAATCATCTTTTTGAAGGATTAAACTTGCTTTTTGTTATCATGTAATCAGTCATATGACTTTCCAGAACAATTCTGTATTATCTTCTCTTGCCTTTATGTTGAAAACACTGTGGACGGGTTGTGGGCAGCTGTGGAGCTATGTTTTACAGCTGTAGAGAAAATACTCACCTATTGGTACATCAGGGGTCACAGTTTTTCCAAGTCCTCAGCTGGCACAACTCTACCCTTTAATGTCTCCCTGATAATATTAATAACACTTTATGATAACTCACAATAAAGTAGTATTTATTTTGGCCACATCCAGGCGGACCCAGAGGTGTCAACACAGAGTGGGGGCTATGATGTGGAGCTGTTCGTGGACACTCCAGACTACGATCTGATCTGCACTATATGCCAGGGGGTCCTCAGGTGTCCAGTGAGAGCTAAATGCCACCACATCTTCTGCAAGAAATGCATTTTACAGTGGCTGAAGAGGTACTGAACACAACATTGATCAATACCACTGAATGAGAACAGTGTAAAGTTGTACTGCATTAGATTGTTATTCATGTCTGGTCCATGCAAAGGATTAGGACTAACTGTTGTTTATCCTCTGTAGGCAGGAGACCTGCCCCTGCTGCAGGAAGCCCGTAAACCCGAGCTTGATCTTTGGCATGTTCAAGCTGAGCAAATCTATTGGACGCATGAAGATCAAGGTAGGAAATGGAAAGTAGAAGCTGGACATTTACATAAATTGTAAATAGTGTAGTAAAACTCATTTTAGTAATTGAGTGGCTGCATTAGCTCTTTAGGAGAAAAAGGAGGACCAAACCAACAACATGGCCTTACATTATCTCGTTCTGAAGCTCTGGGGAGGGGGATCGGTAAAGAGATACAGAGTAGATTAATACCCTGGGTTTTTTTCTAGCCTTTTAAATTAATTTATAGGGTTTATTCATGTCGAATGTTTGCTGTCAATATGTGACTATGGTCTTTTAATGATAATATCTGTAATTATAAGGGTGTGACGAACATTATTTTAATTTAATATACATTATTTTTTCACTTAATCAATTAGTCTATAAAATGTCTATAAATTACTTCAGCTTTTGATACGATCCCCCTTTTTGCAAATTATACTTAGTTTTACTTCAGTGATATTTTTAATGAAAGATGTTTACTTGTTATGGAGTATTTTCATACTCCAGTATTGTTACTTTTACTTCAGTGAAGGATGTGAATAATTTCTCCACCACTTGTAATCTCACCTCTGCTTGTATAATAAAGTCAACAAACAGTGGTTGAGAAGTATGTCATGCTTCAGGCATATAAACCATGTTTTGTACTGATATCTTTGTGTTTCTCTGTATCTGGCCTCTTATAGTGTAAGAATGAGATCCGGGGTTGTGTAGAGACCTTCTCTCTCTCGGAGCAATACTGCCACAGCATGAGCTGTCTGTACGAGCTCATCCCCTGTCCGTACCAGGGCTGCCGGGCACAGCTCCTCCGCAGAGACCTGGACACCCATGCACGGCATTGTGAACACTGGCGTCAGCCCTGCCACATGGGCTGCGGGGCGATTCTCTCCCACCGCACCCAGGCCCAACACAACTGCTACAAGCTACTGAGGCAGGAGTATGAAGCCAGACAGAGGAACCACAGGGCCATCGCAACTGCCCTACAGAGGAAGATGAGGAAGATGCAGAGCACCATGGCCCACATGAAGAGGCAGATAGGGCTGATCTGTGAAAGCCTGCAAGTGATGGACGATCTGCACGAGGTGGAAGAGGAGGACCTTGGAGAGAGCAGTGGCAACTCTAGTGGGCCGCCAGGTATCAACAACAGCAACTGAGGGACAGTTACTGCTGCTAATTGGCTGCTGCTGTGTGTAATTTACACATGCATTAATTTCTTTCAAGGTGTGTGTTTTTAGAATAAAAAGAGTGAAATAATCTTTTTTGTAGAGTTTTTGTTGACATGTGATGCATCTCTCCAACTATTTTTTTTAATGAGGTAAGGTCAGGTTTTATTTTTCAACAATTATACTGAATAATGCAAACCAAGGAACTATATCAATTAGCATATGCATGTGACTGCATACAGAATAAATACATAAAAGCATAACAAATATACAATGTTGGCCTATCAGGGATAAAGCAAAAATAGAATAATGTCCTTAAACTGTTTTTATGTTTCAGAGTCTTTTACTGTGAGGAAGCATATCTGATAATGGCGGATTTATTACTATTTTTACTATTTTATTTTAAACGTATCTCAGTAACCTCTTGTCTTCTTTTGTGTGGTTTTGCTTCAAAGAACGAAAGATATCAAATAAAGTCCATACAACTATCATTATAGAATATGTTCAGCTCTGAATAAACGGCCGCTAGGGGCAGCAGTGAGAATGTTTTGTGAAAGAGGTAATATCGCGATAACGCCTTTCAAATAAAACCCGGCGAGACTTCACGTCGGTCTTCTTCCTGTTATAACAATCACGTAAGTTGAACGCAGAAGAATCGCTCCCGACTGAAATCGTGCTTTATCTCACACATCCTTCTGCTAAACACAATCATCAAATCTACTAAATGACATTTGAATATGTTCCTTCTAAACCCTGCTAGTATTTACGAGGAGAACGTGTCAGAGATGGAGAATTTCTTAAATATTGAACGAACGTTGAACATGGCGGCGATGCTCTGGCTAGCCGGGCGCTTGCTAACTTGCGCGCTCTCTTGCTTTTTAGAGGTTATACGAAATACTAAATTATCTGTTTTTTTGTTCTGCAGCAAATGGCGGACGACGCCGGTGGTAGAGGAGGTTTTCGCGGAGGTTTTGGGGACCGTGGAGGTTTTGGGGACCGTGGTCGCGGTGGCGGACGGGGCCGTGGACGCGGTAGAGGCCGCGGCAGGGGCCGCGGGGCCCGGGGCGGCAAGTCTGAGGACAAGGAAGTAAGATGAAAGCTCATTAACGTCTGAATGAAACAATATAATTCACAACACCACGAACTGTTGTTCACTGAGACGCTCTGTCTTTTGCCAGTGGATACCAGTCACCAAGCTGGGCCGCCTGGTGAAGGATCTGAAGATCAAATCCCTGGAGGAGATCTACCTGTACTCTCTGCCCATCAAGGTAAGCAGTGAGAGGATGGATATAGTGACAGACTGACGACGTTTAGATGGATGTGTTGTTGATGCTAACCGGATAGCAAAGGTCTCTGTAGGTCTATGGCATTCAAAGTGCATTACTGGTCTTAAAAGGATGCTTGCTTAAAGTTATAGCCAAATACATTGTGTGTAGTTTGTGCCATAATTACGTTAGAGTAAAAAAAGTATTTTTGCATATCATGCCGTTGTATTACAATAAAGCGCAGGCAACACCTAATGTCAGCTGTGGCATCCTGATGCAAAATTAAACTTTTTTTTTTTTTTTTTTTTTTGACTTTTTCCTGTAGGAGTCTGAGATCATCGACTTCTTCCTGGCTTCAGGTCTGAAGGACGAGGTGCTCAAGATTATGCCCGTCCAGAAGCAGACCCGGGCCGGTCAGCGCACCAGGTTCAAGGTGAGTCATTTAATCTTGTGGAGACGGTCTCATTCTACTGGTGTTATCCCGTCCAAATGTGACATTGTTGGCTTTTGTTTACAGGCCTTTGTCGCAATTGGCGACTACAATGGTCACGTGGGTCTGGGGGTGAAGTGCTCCAAAGAGGTGGCTACGGCCATCCGTGGTGCCATCATCTTGGCCAAGCTGTCCATTGTCCCCGTCAGGAGAGGTTATTGGGGTAACAAGATCGGCAAGCCCCACACCGTGCCCTGCAAGGTGACCGGCCGCTGCGGCTCTGTCCTGGTGCGTCTCATCCCGGCACCCCGTGGTACCGGCATCGTGTCCGCCCCCGTGCCCAAGAAGCTGCTCACGATGGCCGGTATCGACGATTGCTACACCTCGGCCAGGGGCTGCACCGCCACCCTCGGCAACTTCGGTAAGAGTCTTCTGATGGTTTCGTCTCTTTATCTGTGTTGCTGTGTTTTCTCCTGCTTTGCCCAGCTTCACCCATGCAGTGGTGTAGTTGCCGTTATCGGGAGAGAAAGAAACAAGTATTGTAATGCACGGCAGAGAGACTGTTTCAGTGATCTCCTCTGTTCATATTTTCAGCACAACATTGTTACCAAAAATACTGCAGCTGTATTATGCGTGGAGCTCCATCTTGAGCATCTCCTCACTGTTTGTTTTCATTTCCTCATCAGCCAAGGCCACCTTTGATGCCATCTCCAAGACTTACAGCTACCTGACCCCTGACCTGTGGAAGGAGACTGTCTTTACAAAGTCTCCCTACCAGGAGTTCACTGACCATCTGGCCAAGACTCACACCAGGGTGTCTGTGCAGAGAGGTGGACAGGCCACCCCAGTCCCTACTGCCTAAAGTTTTTCTACAGAGAATCGTTGAATAAACGTTCTGAAACAAAGTGCAACCTGTGTTTTTTCTTGTGCTGAACTCATGACAGAACAGGGGTGAGAGAGGAAAGTACTTTTTTTTACTATGGGTACTGTTAGGTAGGGGTGAATGTACAGCAATGTTTAACTGCAGTATGAAATATCACTAGTGTTATAAAGGAAGAAATTTCCAATGGTATAAAACACCAGATGGGGTTGTTTCTGGCTAATTAAGCAAATGAAATCCTATTATGTCAAATCTTAGTGATTTAAAAGTCCAGTCTACAAACTTGGCTTGTCTACATGTCTAATTCATCATAGAAATTGTGATTGGCAAACTGTTACTGAAAGCATAGTATCTGGTAGGTGTAAGACCCAATAAAGGCTTATGCAAGAGTCACTTGAAAGTATAAGTTCCTGCATCAACCTCCAGTTATAACTTTAATAATCATGCACAGATGGCTAGGTGTGCTGCAATTTGTGAATGATGGAAAGACACTAATTGACGTGATGTATCACATGAAGTTTATTATACAATTATTACACGGGACGGATAGTAGGGAACTGTTCTTAAGCAGTCTGGGCCTGAGCAGCGATCATCCGTTCTTTTTGCTTCATTAGACATTTCCTCCCGCTGGCGTATGCTCCCAGGTCTCCATCTGGAAAGAGGTTAAGACATGTCAACCATCTTAAATATAAGGTTTATTTTTTGTCCAATTAATATAAAAACTGAAGAAAGCAGATTCTGCCAATTGTTTCAGTGCAAATGTACAATAATGCACATACAGTGCATTATGGGTAAGTCATCCCTTGAACTATGACAGCATTTGCCACACTGTATTTAGTCAGCAGTCTGACATGTTTCCTGAATGAGTCCACACCACACACATTCAAGCTCCGAACTGCACAATACTTACAGCGTGACTGGAAGTTGTGGGTCACCTCGGTGAACTGCTGTATTTCATTGGAACAGTTCTGCTGGTAGCTGGATCCTTCTCTCTGGTGGCAGGCCCTCATACGCTCCTGGACCACCTTCACAATCTCCTGGTCCACTTTGCTGTGGGGTGAAGACAACACATGGTGACACTTTGATAGAGGCACCCTGACCACTACAGCAACCTTACATGTGCGTGAATTCAGTATCGAGTCCTTGTAATAAGACTCATTTTTTAAGGCCACCATTGTCTCATAATGAAAGAACTATTAAAAAAGGCATGCCTGCATGGCCAAAACAATTGGTGGGTTGCACCTATAGTGTATGTGATTGTTGTACATCTAATTTCAAAGCCATGGGCATTAATACGCTTCTATAATAGCCTCTACTCTAATGCATCCAGTTCATCCCGAAGGTGTTGAATGGGGTCTAGGTGGGACCTCTGTGCATATGGGGTCAGATCAGTCTCAATATTATGAATGCACACAGAACGAGGCCTCACGATTAGGTAAAGCTGCCATGATCAAAATGTATATTTGTGCTGTAGTTGTGTGTGTTGTGCCCAAAGATAAGTGCATTTGCCACTTTGTACAGTTGGTAATAAAGCCAACAAGCAACGTTATAATGACCTAGGTGTTGGGTACACAAATGTCCATCTGGATGATTTAACCCTTTACTCACTAGTCTCTCCTCCACTGCATCTCAGCCTCGTAGTAGCAGAGGTAATCTCCCTGCTGGCACTCCGTCAGGTCAGGAACACGGCGGAACTTCTGGTGGAAGTAGACCGGCCTGTTTTTAGACCGGATGCTGTCAACAACATCTAGATGAGAGAGAAAAAAACATAATTATACAAACATAGTCATAGTTAAACCTAACGGCAGACAAGGCCGTGTGGGTTAAACTGTGACGTGATGCGTCTGTGAATGAAGCTAGCTAGCATAACATCTAGGTTAGCTTGCATAGCTAGCTAACGCTGTCCATTATTGACACAAATCACAGCCTTGTAGATTATTTAGTGTGGTATTTTGCAAGCACACAACAATGATAGCAGCGATATGAAGTACAAATATCCCAACAATATGTCTCCCTAAAGCCGTGTTATCCTGTTAGCACAGTTAGCTCTGTTAGCTTCGGTTACCTCTAAATGTGGTGACAGGCAAGTCCACGGAGTAATAGAAGAGTTTAGACAGAATCAGGGCCGGGTTTGGCAGTGCTGTCTGTTTGTCCACAACCGGAGTCTGCCGGGGAGGCTCCGGGTATGCTCCTTTATCATAGTCAGTCGGCATTTTGCCTAAAAATGACCAGGACCAAAGAAATCCTACAATTCGACCTCGGCAATTCTCCTTTCGAGGTGGCGCATGCGCAGAAGACGCAGCATAATGGCGAAATAGAGGTCAACAAATGTAAAACCGCAATGTTATCTAGATACGTTTTATTCTGATTATTCCAAAAAATATCATTCTTGACAAATATTATATCAAACGAGGAACTCAGCACAAGTTAATTTACAGCATTTTTAAGACATAAAGGTCATAGGGCAAAGGTCACAGGTGGAGCTGTTGTACCATGGAAATGCAGCAGGTGGTGGTGCATGGCTGACTATAAGCCTACTTAAATACACTCAACTAGTACACACTCACCAGAGAATTTCTGGAACGTAAAATGTTGAGACATTAACACATAGAAGAGATAAAGAGTGTAATGATTTAGCAACATGGGACAGCCAAGCCAGGGGTCTCAACAACTAGTTGCTGTAGTTGCTTTATTGCTTTTTAAAGAAACTGTATCCGTCGTAAAGCAGACCAGGTGGATGTTGGCCTTGTGACAATGCAAAACTTTCTTCTTCCTTTCTCTCTCCTTTCATGGTCATGTGGTTCCTGTCCACTAGGCCTCCTCACCACCTCAGACCACAGAGATTACCCTCTTCCCTCCTCCGAACTTCTCATGTCAGAATTTGGCAGAGATTGCCTTGTTTGAAAGCGAATACATCTCCTCAGCTGGGCCAAACCCCAAATTAGAGCCCTTACACTCGGTATCGTCTTATGTATGACCCTTACTTCAGCACTGGCCCCTTTCTCATTCTATTCCTCGACCGGACAGTGTGCGGACATGGTTAGTGCTCCTCATAATTCTTGACACTTTTCTTACTATAAAAGATACATTGATTTACAGTTTTATCATCTACATGTGTGCATGTGGCCATCTGGGTTTATGAGGGAAGATCAGGCATATTGAAATGTAATCTTGTAATGGCTGCCGTGGAGGAGACCACTTGGAATACTGAAATGGTGACTTTCTTTGTTTGTGGCATCCCATTGTTTGAGTTTTGTTTATAATTCGGCCTTTGCCGGATTTCTGAATCACATTCAGTGTGACATAGAAACCAATGTAGAAAGTACACATTGCCTGACACATTGAGATTAAGGGACTTGACTCTATGTATTCTTTTGAAGTCCTGTTTCATTTTATCGTAATGTCTGGAGGCCCTTAATATAGGGTTTTAATATCTGAAGAATTTAGGGAAATTGGGACTAAAAACAGAGCAGAGGATTCATTTTTACTGCACTGAGTACAGGCACGCATTAATGTGTCTCTTCTTAATCTACTACTGTAGTTCTTGTGTTATTATTTAAAAAAATCATTGCAGTATAGTCGGGTTACATTTCAACGGTGTTTCACATTATTAAGGAATATGATTCATGCCTTTACAGTCTCATCGCAAATTCCATGCACCCCGCCATGGACACATGGGGTTCCTGCCCCACAAGCGTAGCAAGAAGCATAGGGGCAGGGTGCGGACATGGCCCAAAGATGACCCCAGCCACCCTGTCCACCTCACTGCCTTCCTGGGATACAAGGCCGGCATGACCCACACGCTGAGGGATGTGCACCGCACTGGCCTCAGTATGTAGACTTACTGCAACATGGATGCATGGGAGGATTGAGAAAAAAAACATTATCTTTGAGTAATGTTTGCTGTTTGTTTGTTTGAGAGGATAATGGGCTGATAAGATCAGGTGTTGCATGGAACCCTACAGTGTTCTTTACATATTTAATACAGTTTAGCTTCTGGAAGCATGACACATTATTACATTATTACAATGTTACAGGATGTAATCAGTGGGTTATATACTGTTTATACATGTATTATCTGTTAAAATGCTATGCCCGATTGAGCTTTACTGAATACTGACAGTTAAAATATCTCAGCAGATGAATATATACCATGTTTCTCCCACAGAGCAAGCAAAGCGAGAGCAAGTGGAGGCGGTTACCATCATTGACACTCCTCCAGTCATTGTGGTGGGGGTAGTGGGATACATTGAGACTATCCGTGGCTTGCGTTCCCTCAAAACCATCTTTGCGGAGCATCTCAGTGACGAGTGCAAGCGCAGATTTTATAAAAACTGGTGTGTGATTACATATTGTTCCCTTGTATGTGTGCATTGAGCAGTTGCTGCCTTGCTGACACTGTTGTTTTTTTCTTTCTTTACTGGGCTTTTTTGTATTTCAGGTACAAGAGCAAGAAGAAGGCCTTCACCAAGTACAGTAAGAAGTGGCAGGATGAGACAGGAAAGAAACAGCTGGACAAGGATTTCGCTCAGATGAAGAAATACTGTTCAGTAATCAGGGTTATTGTTCACTCTCAGGTAGGCCAGCCAGTTTACACCTAAATTCAAAGCCCAATCCAGTTTTAGAGACACACTGTCCCATCCCATGTCAGTCAGACTCCACTGGTCTAATGATTGGATTCTATTCACCTATTGGCCGCTACTGAATCCACCCATGCAAAAGGGCAGAGGTGTCAGAGTTGTCCACCCGACCACATGCAATGACAAGAAAAGCTGCCACATCCCAAATCCCCCATGCTGCTAAGAGCCAACTCTGACTACGACACATTGAGGGGAGCACTGGAGGCTGCTGCTTCAAATGGCAGTTTAAAAATAATTCTCAGGGCAGAACCTGGCTGCTCACCCAGGCTTTTCCGAAAGCTGCTGGGATCGTTGTCTGTGCAGGTTTCAGCTTCAGAAGTGAGAATAAGATCAGAATGTGCCCTTGAATATCAGGGCTGTGGTAATCGCCTTGAAAATGGCTTTGAACATGATCCTGTGTTAATTAATAAATCTAAAAATAAAAAGACTTTCTAATTAGAAAAGCCTTTTCTAGATTTTAGGACTCCTTTCAGTTGCAGTTACGTGCTTCTCCATTTCCAGGTGCGATTGCTGGCCGTAAAGCAGAAAAAGGCCCACATCACGGAGGTGCAGCTAAACGGGGGAAGCATCGCGGACAAGGTGGACTGGGCTAAGGAGCACCTGGAGCAAGCTGTGCCTGTCTCTGCCGTCTTCTACCAGGATGAGATGATTGACATCATTGGAGTCACCAAGGGTCATGGCTTTAAAGGTTGGCAGCATGCTGTGACTATTTGTGCCGGTCCAAGGGCTTGTAAGATAAACACACTAAGTAATACATATATTTATTTCTGTCTCTTTGTGCTGATAGGTGTGACAAGCCGCTGGCGCACAAAGAAGCTTCCCAGGAAGACTCACAAGGGTCTGAGGAAGGTGGCCTGTATTGGAGCCTGGCATCCGGCCCGTGTGTCGTACACTATAGCTCGTGCAGGTCAGAAGGGCTATCACCACCGCACTGAGATCAACAAAAAGGTTAGCTCATTAATAGTTTCACCCATAAGACGTCATCTTCATCTGTTCTTTTGTAAATAAGCTTTTGTTGGATAATTATAAACAACATTATTGTGAGTATATATTTCGGTTTACCATATGTTGTCATGCGTGAGCCCCTCATTTCCTCATGTGTCCTCAGATCTACCGTGTTGGTAAGGCAGTGCACATCCGGGACGGAAAGGTGATCCGGAACAATGCCTCCACTAGCTACGACACCACCCAGAAGGCCATCACGCCCATGGTACTCTCATATCTTAAGAATATAATATGCACTAAAAAGGCTCTTTCTAAGATCCTGTATTGATGATATAATAACCACACCTGCACATCACACTGCAGCTCTGCACATAGCTTTATAAAGCATCATGATGTATCACTGCTGGTATGATAATATTTTATAAGGTGTTATGGAAAACATGGTGCTCTCAGCAAATGTCTTCCTGAACACTCATTTACTCTCCATTCTTTTCTATTCCTGTAGGGAGGCTTCCCTCACTATGGTGAAGTGAATAATGACTTTGTCATGGTGAAGGGCTGCGTGGTCGGGTGTAAGAAACGCGTCCTCACCCTCAGAAAGGTAATGTGATCAAGAAAGTCAATTTTAAGATCTCACAGGCAGCTTGCAGTATAAGTACACAGTTGTAGCATCTAATTTACTCTCACAGTTAAACGCAAGATTCCTAGTGCATTATTGCAGGACATCTACCGTATGTGTACATCTTTGTCTGTTTGCCCTCCCCCCCGCCCCAGTCTTTGCTCGTGCACACGTCTCGCAAGTCCAAGGAGACCATCGAGCTCAAGTTCATCGACACCACATCAAAATTCGGCCATGGCCGCTTCCAGACTGCCCAGGAGAAGAAGGCATTCATGGTGAGCTTGTGAAAAGCATGGTGAAAAGTTTGATGCACACACAAATCTGATTAACAGGAAATTCTGCAGGGTAACATAATCAACAGCTGACTCCTTCTTCACTGTTTTAACACTGTCCTCTGCTTTACCTGCAGGGTCCGCTGAAGATGGATGTCCTGAAAAAAGCGACGGAGCCTCTGACCGAGGAGGCCTGAAAGCAATTCTCAATTTTCATACAGTAATAAAACACAGAAACACCAAAGTTTCAAATACACCGTGTGTGATCGTGTCATGTAAATTAACATTGGTGTTGCATAATTGATGTGTATTTGTTTTAACTGGATTAATTATACATTTAAATGGAATAATTACCATAGATTTAACAGGTTTTTATTCGCTGATAATCCATGAGTTTATTTACATTGTTCAAAAACAACATGCACCATGGAAGCTTGATCATCATTATCATCTCCATGTTTTTCATCAGTGGATTAGAAAATGATTAAATAGATAGTTTGTTAATTCAACATTCTTCACCAGGTCATCTACAGCACCTTGTTTTGACGTACATCTAGTATTTACATCTTTTATCAGTGTTGGCATCAAATTAAAAAAAAAAAGTGCTCTAACTGGTATACAGTTCAATCATCTTCACAGTACAGGGCACTTTAGCACCATTCTCACAGTCCCGAGGTCGCTGCACTTGCTCAGCTGCATTCATCCTGCACTGGTTACAATCAACACGCTCAGGATAAACACCAAGCCGGTACCCAGCTACAGCAGCCTCGGAATCAATTAGAGAGTCATGGCAATAGCTGCACAGTGGCTTTTTTTCTTTTTTTACATCGACATAATCTCATCTGTGGCCTCAAAGGGGCACTACTCTGACAGGTCGTCCTGGGACTCCATGGAGGACTGGTGGGATGAGGAATGGATTGAGGATTGGTGGGATGCAGGTGGGTTTTCCAGGCCGGATGTCATCAGGGGCAGATACAGATCATCCATATTGGGCATCACAAGCACTTTCTGTTGAGGGGCAAAGGACAACAAAGCCATATTTAATAATTAGTGCAATATGTTTTTAATGATATGGGAAATGGTACTTCTCATACTCCTGTACCGTCACAAAGTATCTTTGCATTATTCTTTTAATCTTTTTCTGCACATCGACAGATTCACTGATGGACTGACCTGGAACTCACACTGCAGTTTTCTCTCGATCCACTCAGTGACATGAGTGAAGGTGACCTCCCTCTCCCCGAGCGTGGGTCGCACATGAAGGTCTAACTTGGGAGGCACCCGGAAACTGTACCTGAGAGGAGAGAATGAGAGAAAAAGACTGTGTGAGAAAAGAAAGAAACCTTTGAATTCATGGCATGAAATGATGTTGTAAACTCAGTACCATATCCTGTCAGTAGGGGGAGGTGGGATGTTGATGGCCAGAGTGCCAGAGAGCTCCAGGACCTCAACGCTGAGCATCAGAGGCATGTTAGACACCTCAGCTATCTTCTTCCTGATGTACTCGTTCTCGGTGGCTTTCTGGAAGTACTTGGACTTCGCTATCTTGTCCACAAATCTCAAGATCTTCCTACTTGTGCTGCTACCAGTGTGCCTGGATGAAGGATTAGGACAAGGGCACAAATGCAGTGTAGGGCTGTGAATTAGAAAACTACTGGGATTGGGACATTGAAATTAGTGGTGCCACATCATGTGTTTTCACATCATACGCAAACCACCTTATTGACAACAATTTCTTGGCTTGTAAATTACTATTCATGTCAACATGCAAGTGTTTGTTACAACTGTGAAGTTTTTTTTAGAAATCTACAATATATTGAAATAGGCAATATGTAAGTTATGTTTTATGTCATTCCTGCCTTTGAAGACCTGAAAACTGTCCCGCACATAAACACATTCACACATTATAGACACTTGCTCTGACAGTAAGTTGTGACTGCAGGAAAAGCACAGGTGGACTTAATGACCTTAACGATGCAGCACTGCAATTATGGCACCACAGCGCTGCATCGTTAAGGTCATTAAGTCCACCTGTGCTTTTTCTCTTCTGCACACAAGTCAAAATGTCAGCAATCAGCATATTCACACACAGTTCACATCGTTTACACACATCATCGTAACTCCATCTTCTACGTCCATATGTCGCTCTTTTATTTTGTCACATTTGATCACCAATAAAAGATTGAATAAAAACATTATTGGTTACACCTGTGTTTGAAAAAGTCAAAATATCGCCTGTGAAAAAGTAGCATTTTTTTTACCATTTTAACACCTGCACATCACTAAATAGGATGCGACCACAAGTGCAGCATGCGGAGTGTGACCTATAATCCAAGCTATATTTCTTCTGTGTGATAGTTTACCCATCAGCTGCTACCACTGTGCTCTTCTCCCCTAGAGACGCCTGCGGCTCAAAGGGGGGGGGCTTCCTCTTCATCAGACGAGCCTGCGCTGGACGACTCTTCATCACTATCGGCCAGTACACATAGCCGGGGCTTAGAGCTGAAAAACACACCAGTGGTACCTGTTAATGCAAACCACTGAGCTGAGGAGACTGATTCCTCCTCGAGCGTCATCTATTGAGGAATATGAAACGGAGATGGGCCTCACCCCACTTGCTGGGTCTCTAGAACGCTGTGAGCCTCGTCCTCTCCATCTTTACCCAGTTTACACAGGTTCATCTTAGTCTCCAGGGTCATCTGAAGGCAGCCTGTGTACACCACCTCCAGCTCCAGCCACAGGCCTTTGAGATAGAAACAAACAAACAGGTAGCAGGTAAGATCAGATCTCTTAACAAGCGTCGCGTCTAGATCTGGCCTGGCACAGTGTTGTTGCAGAAGGGACATTAGATCAACAGAGGATAGCCCGGGCATGTTTGTTACTTTCGTGGGGCTTTACATAGGCACAGCGATGCTCTGAGCCACACCTCTAAAATGGTTAACAATCAAAAAAGCAAGATCGTGTATAAATATGTTCTTATCCAATGCAACATGTCTGAGTGTAAGTACACACAACTGTACCTCTGCGGTCAAGTGTTGGTGGGGAGGTGCTGAGGACTTGAGGTAGGCAAGTACCCATGTCCAGATCTGCCAACGTCAGCTCATTCATGAAGTATGGCAACTTGTAATGAGACAAACAACACCTTTAGTTAGTAAACATGCTGCGTTCATGTCAGACATTAAAATAAAAAAAAGCTCATGAAATCAGAGAAAAACAAATAGAGAGGCTCCACAGAGGAAGATAATTACTTCAAACTAATGAGCGAGCAGTGGGAAATATGCAGTGGTGTGTGTGCGTGTGTGTGTGTGTGTGTCTGAAGGAGAGAGGAGCAATATAGTAAAAGGATGGTGTGTGTCAAAGAGGAGAGCAGGAAATGAGAAATGAGATGCTGCAGTGCCATCCCTGCTCCACTACTCACTCCCACCTTTGCAACCAGAGGGAGTGCATTATCAGCAGACACTCAAACACACACACACACACACGCGCACACACACACACACACACAGAAAAGAAAGCTGCGGCATTGATGTGCCTAACGTCACATCTTTTGACCTGGGGCACAAACCAGCGCTATTGGTCAGGCTGTATCATCGAGTGACCCACTTTGCAGAGCTCTGACCTGTAGTGCACTCACTGTTGCCTGCCCACGTCATTAGTCAGCATGACACTGATGATGCTGCTGCTGATGGTGTGAATATGAAGATGAATGTGCGTATAATAAAAAATGAAGAGCATCAGCTGAACCCATCAAACCAAGGACTTCTTGTAAACCAAGGACTTCTGACTAACCTTGAAAAACAAATCACCATGCTCATCCACTCTCACCTTGATCTTGCTGAGTTTCTTCTGGATTTTGTGCGCCACCTGATCAGTCCAGTACTTCTCCTGCAGGAAGTCCCAGAAGATCCGTCCCACCAGGGAGTTCACCCAGGTGGGCTGGCCCTCTGCCGAGCGGCCCTCTGCCACTGAACCTGCGCTGGGCTCATCTCCTGCTTGACCTCCAGATCCATGCTCTTCATTGTGAGTCTGCAGTGAAAGCATTTATGTTTGCACATGCATTTTTCAGAGGGTATACTCCCCGATAGGACCGAGATGCGCAGGTACAATTTCTTGCCATTTCTATACTTATCCATCCTCAAGCCCCATTTACGCCAACCCTTTTCCTCCTGTAAATACCAGCACAGACTGTCTCTATGTGGGGTGCCAATCCCGACCAACCCAAACCAGGATTAGCAGCTCTGCACTCAGTCCCTATTAATCTCCTTCCAGCCAGGTGACACCTGATATTTCTGCACATTGACATTTGGTCTAGTCAGCAGGGATGTGTTTGGCTGAGCCAGCATCCTAGACAAGGCTGGTTTAAGCGCAGAGCAGAACGGAGGAACAGTAGCCGATATTGACCTGCTCTGATCAATGGGAGGTATGTAGAGTATTAGCATGACAAGCAGAGGGTCAGTGGAGCAGAGACACATTTCTCATATGTGCTCAGGCTGTAAATGAAACCTACGGAGAGCTTACATGCCTTCACAACATCCAGCACTGTGATGCTATACCTGATACTACATCTTAGAAATACATAAATGTGTTGCTCATTGACCTTCTTGTGAGCTGTGGGGCTTCCCTTGTCACTATGGCAGGGGCTGGGGGTGGGATTGCAGCTCGGCGTGCCAATCAGTTGAGTCATGTAGATGCTGTACTCCAATAGCGTTCTTGTTTTCAGAGCTCCCGGCAAATCATGCAGCTCCTCTGGGCCTTCTCTGGCAGCGTCTCCAGCACATGGTGTTTCTGAGTGACAGAGAAGGTGAGTGGGCGGAAAGGAGCTGGTGAATCGAACGCCAGGACTCACAGAAACAGTACAATTCTGCATGATCATCAATCTGTCCTGAACGTGATTCAACAACGACTGTATACGTGTTTAAAACAAGGAGGTGATGTCGCTTCCAACCAACATAAATTCAAACACCATCTTACCTGCACTCTCCTGGCTGCTCACACTGCTCTGGGCTCCAGCCTGGGAGGCAGACAGGAAGTACTGGAACCAGTCCTCCTTCTCTCTTCCTGTGCGGCCAAACAGGTACAAGGTGACAGGAAGCTGGTGGTCCGGGACCGTGTGTCTCTCTGCCCTTTCTTCCTCCTCCTTCCCTTCGATTACACTCTCCTCCCCGACCTCCCCCTCAGCCAGAGTGACGCAGACGGGGTACTTCTTATTCCAGATCCTCTTGCGAGCCAAACCGGGCGGCAAAAGAGACACCTGGGATGAAAAGTAGCAGAAAGAAATGACAAAGGATAAGTGTAATTTTCTTCTTATTAGCATTTCCTTTCTACAAGAGATGCTAAAAGCCAGAAATTGTGTTGATAGTTTTTCATTGCCAAAGAGCTCCCCACATTGATTAGATTGTGTGTTGGCTTTATTCTATCACCATATTGGAAGCTACTGTAGCCTGCTTCAATATGCTACTGGGACAGCAGCCGGGTCAAGTTTATTCAGAGCATCATCACTTCGTTTGTAATCCTTCTGGTCTTTCACCTCCGTGTTGAATGACAATGTGGGTGCAGAGAGATGAGAGTTCAGGCGAGAGGTCACCTCTTTTACTCCCCTCTGAGGAACGTGAGGGCCCAGAAATTAGAATATATATCACGTACTGACCTTACAGTTTGCCAGCGTGTAAGTACGTGAGCGCAAAAACACGGCCTCGTGGGACGTCTCGTCGAACGCTGCCCACCGGGGGATGTTGTTACATGGGTATGCCAGGCACAGCTGGCTGCCCTCCAGGGTGACGTAGACGGAGTGTGTGATGGAGGGGTGGAAGGTCTCAGGGTCGTAGCTGTGTGTCTCATTCATCCAGCCCTGGAAGACAATTATGAGGGTGTTTACCCCAACACAGTCACAAATCACATAATTGATATTAAGAGCAGGCTACATTGAGATGTGTTATATATATATATATATATATATATATATATATATATATATATATATATATATATATATATATATAAAAATATATGTAAATCTTGCAAAAACTCTACTCAGGCGAATTTAATTTACAGCGAGTGGTGCAATCTGCGACAATACGGCTCAGCAGGAGGGGAAACATGAGACATCTGTCTCATTTAACACAGTGAACGAGTCTTTGAAATAGCCTGCTGCTAGTAACTCCTCTGTCCTCGTTATATTTACCTTATGTGAACCTGCTAACTCTGCATTTATCGAGGCAGCCAGCCCCACTGTCTCAGCAGAGCTGTCAAGAAGTGCTTTGAGAAAGCTATTATGAAAATAGCGTGCCCCTTAGATGCCGAACCTGCGGTGCCTGAGGACAGTTTTCTATAAAGTAATTATCTAAAAAACAAATCCATTAAGCACCACTGACAGCTCACACGGCTGCTGTTGCTTATTGTTTTGATCTCTCAAAGATTAGAGCTTGAAGCTCATTTCCATGTAGCCAAATCAGGAAAACAAGAAGAGGCTTCCTGCTCTGTGCCACAGTCACATGTGTAACACACTCAAAAGAAACAGGGAAGTTTGGATAAAAGTAGACACAGATGAAATGTCACCGTGCCACTTTCATGTTTACGCCTCTCTTTGTCGTGTTACCTCTAGGATTTCTGGATCTGTGAGCTCTCCATCCAGTGGCTCCATGTTCAGGGTACTGGATTTGCTCAAACCCTTGTTGCTTCTGGCAGACGAGCGTCGCGGAGCAAACATGAACACAACCACCAGGCCCAACATGAAGCCACATGCAACCCCCACGGACAGACCCGTCACATAGGAGGGCAGGGGCAACACAAAGAAACCATAAGCCAGAAGACCCACAGGGAAGAGCCAGTGAAGAGGCAGCGATGAGCCTGGCACCGTGACTCTAGCCTGGGTGTAAGTTCTATGATGTGTCCCCTTGGATCCATTCTGGAGCTCCACCACCTGAATCACATCTCCATAAGTGCAGATTTCTAAATGGCTGTCACTGCTGTGGTGTTCTGGGGAGACGGAGGATTTTGTTAAGGAGCTCTTTTGGAGTCTTCTCAGAGATGTGTCACACACACCTCTGGGCTCACTTTCAGCTCTCTTTCGGCACTTGAGGTCTGCATCTTCACTGTCACCGTCTCTTCCACAGCTGCCTTGGGAGGACGGTGACTCTCCGGCACCAGAAGCCCTCCCTTGCTTTGGGCTGCCGGAGCTTTCGTCCCCCATGATCTTACTCAGCATGCTCAGCGGATCCTGCATGGCCTCGGAGAACTTCCTCCGCGTGTCCTCCAGCTCAGCAATCAGCGAGCTGCCCCGGGGTTCAGCAGGAGGCACGCCGCCAGCGGAAAGAGGCGACACCCAGTCATCATTCTCGTTCAGCCCATCTGCTACAGGCCTGGTCTCTGGGATTTTGGGATGGGTTAGCTGCTTCCAGGGGTGCAAATGCAGCTTGGAGTCTGACTTGGAGAGATTGACCTCTGGCTCGACCCGGCGGGAAATCTCGGTGCTCAGGGACTTGACCAGGCTGAGCAGAGGTTTGCCTCGCAGGGAGCTGCTCTCCCTCGGCTCCAGGTCTGTGGAGGAGGATTTGACAAGGTTGGTGGTGACAAGCAGGTCTGCCGAAGATGCCGATAGATCCGCTAAAGAGCCCGGGGATGAGGGGGAGTGAGGCAAAAAGGGAGGCTGGGAGCGGTGATTTAGGCTCAGGTTCAAATCCATCCCCAGGCTGAGGTCAGGCTGGCTGTCCCTTTTGCGTTGTTTGTCTTTGCTGAAGGCCACGGTGGGACCTTCATCGTGGCCGTCCAGGCTGAAGATGAGCTTGCTCTCTTCCATGCTGGCCCTCAATCAGGAGCTACTGGGAGGATGTGGTCGACCAAACGGAGTCCCCGAAGGCATGGCGCATGGCGCTAGCACTGGGAGTCTTTAACTGCATGTAGACTTATAACAACCTCCTCTGGTAGCTTATAGTTCATCATGTTGAATGCTGGTGAGAAAGAATAACAAATATAATGGTTAATTGAGCAACTAAGTTACTTTTTAAAGAATAACACAACATTTTACCTTTCTATTTCTGCCCTCTACATTTTTTTAAATAATTTTCTCTCAACCTTTGACCCTAATCTCCCTCGTCCTTTCTCCTTTGTCCTTTTTACTGCTCCTACTAGGGTAAAGTTGGCCTTCGAAAGCAAAACAATTACACACTCCCTCGGCGAAATCACAGTTTATGGATCTACAACAGGCCCTTCATAGCTTGTGTCCATGTGACAACGACTGTCATGTGTTATGGCAGGCAGGCTGCACAGCTCAAACCCACACTCAACAGCTACGCTATGATCCAAACAGAGAGTGGTTTAACTGTAATCCTCCATACTTTGACGACAGCACTTGGGACATGGATTGAATCTGATGAATGGGTAATCAGACGTGTCTTTCAATTCCAGATACATTTGTGGCATCCTTGTTATTCCCTTGCTCAAGTTGTCAGCCACACACGTGCATACTGCGGTGCATGTAGTCAAAACTAGCTTTATGAGCAATTTAAAGTGTCTGCCCTTACAGAAAAGTGCAGCATAAGAAAACTGACACATTTCAGTTTAATTCTCGTCACTCCCGAAGGTTACTCCACATGTGTCATATGAGTTTTGTTACCAGCCTGCCCTTTTGTAATAGTCATTGAACTGCACCCGTCTGCATTTGAGTCCTTCCTCTGCTCTCCAACTGAGACAAATTCATGCACTTGTCTGTCCCTAAGAAGCTATTACGTGGACTCTTGTGACGATTTTTCTCATTCTACTTTTGTGTCCCTGTGCTAGTAAGTGAGGTCATGTTTAATCTTCTTGTTCAGAGCAAACACTGCAGCCAGATCCTTACATAACGAGGGTGATCGTGCAGACACAAACTCATATTTCCTGACCTTTAGAGTGCACATTTTTACATAACTACAGAAGGAGAAAATGCAACAGTAGTAAGACACTTCAGCAATTTGCCAGTCATGTATTGTAGATTCTAGTCCTGACCTTGATGAAAGGCTGCAGATTATAATCTGCTACCATGTCTTTTACCTAATTTAACTTTCTCATTGGCTCCCATCTTATCTGTTCCCTTCTCTGCACACTTGTTTATGTGGAGCAATGTTACATTTTCAGCACCAACCTGATGCTCTCTTTGTGAAATCTAATTAACCAAAAGTGCTGCTCTGCCAGCGCTTAAGCTGCTCCAGACAGTCCTGCATTACCCTAATCAATTTCTGCTTTGGAGTTAATTTGGATCAGTTGTTGCTGACAGGGAGAGGAAAACCGTTGCTGCTCTGTGGAGTACGGAGTCAGCAGGGATTTGGCAGCTTTCCAGTCAGGACTGTGGATGAACCTCTGCAGGAAGGAAGAAAAAACATGAGGACCGAAGTCTGGATCCACATTTTTTGGTTTGCCCCTTAAGAGAGGAAAGTGGAGTAGATTTTGCTATTTCATTTTCTAAAGGAAAATGTCTTGATTGTAGTTTAATGTTAATGACTGAAAGGCATTTAAAAACGGTCCGATGCCCCTAATTGAGGTCAGAGGGCGAAGTCTTAATCTGGTCTAAATGAAATGTACTTAATTGACATTTTCCAGAAGGAAGGTCACATAAAGCTTTTAATGAGTATTTATTTTCATCAGTTTGCTGATTATTTTCTCTGTCAATATATTAATTGTTGATGAAATGTAAAAAAAATTGTGAGAGGATGTTTATCATAATTTGGTCAAAGTGGATGTCTTTAAATCTCAACCCAAGTTGTTCAACCCAAGAAAACAAGGTTTGGACAAGGTATTGCTGTCAGGATTTTTTAATAACTGCAGGTATTAGAGGCAACATTAAAGGAAAGGTAGTGAGCCTCATGGGCTGTCCTAAAACATGCTAACTAATGACACAAGGCAAAGTGATATTCGAGAGTCTGAGTTGACAGTATAGTGGATTATTCTAAATGGATTAAAAAGGTAGAGGAAGAAATGACGTGACCATCAGGAAATCCCGCTTTGATCCCTGACGTCTGCATGGGATAGAATCACTCTGTCCTCTTCTTGGCCTTTCTATTCTGGTCACACAAGGACAATTGGATCCAATTAAAGCTATACATTGTTTTCTTTCTGCGAGGAACTTCATGAAAACCCCAGTTGGAGTGCTGTGTGAGTAAACGAGACTGTATTTGCAGCCTGGCAAACACACGCTGTCAAACAGCTTAACGCTTTCCTCAAACTACCACTTGACCCTGACGACTGGCACATTTGGCACAGGACTCTGTGTTTGTCTGGGTATCACATGGTCAGTGCTAGTACAGCTGTACTTCATCTCATTAAGACATCATTCAGACAGTCAGATGAGTCCCGTTTGTCCCTTTTAAACTTTCCATCAGTCTGTACTCTTTCTCTCCTCACCTGTAGAAAATCTCGCAAGTCTTTCTGTTTAAAAATTAAAGGCAGCTATTCTACAGCACTGATGACAGAAGCATGCGTGTGCTGCTCCCGGTAAAAAAAACAAAACAGAGCTTCTTACCTGAATGTGGCATGTTGGCTCTCGTGATATCAGTGAACGAGGTTTGTGCTTCAAGTGCAGGCTGCAGTGCTCAGTGTAGATGCTGCAGAGCGCGGGGACGCGCACCATGCACCGGCAACAAATACACTCACTCAACTTTTCTCGGATTGTAGCCAATCTTCGTTGCACAAAAAGCACGTCACAACTACGTAGAAGATGTTTTATCTAAATGCACGGTTTGCAAAATATTCGCGTCCAGCGCCGTTTCACATCGCTTCTTCCCTTGTCCGCTTCACGAGGAGTCAACCCAATACAGAACAATGTGATTATAGGGAGTCCTGGCTGCAGACCGGACGACACTGTAATCCAGATTACACCGGAGAGGCCAACAGTTGACGGAGCGGCGACTCTTCTCTGCTGCTGCGCTCAGCGTCAAAACACAGACGGAGCTCATCTCTCCGCCTCTGACATCGCAGTCCTGAACGCTGCAGACTTATGTAATTGCAAGACCTGGAAAAAAAATCATCCATGCTCAAAGTTGCTGCTCATAAGCCTCTTATTTAAAAGACAGCATGTTTTTTGTTGTTATTGTTGCGAGGGATGCATATATTAAATCAATTTATTTCACTTTTTCTTGATGAATCTTCATCGTGTATCTCATTATTGGGGCTAAATTGTGTTTACATATGGTAAATATCTCTGAGCTTTTGGCTTTTAGGATCTGTGTGGATTATTGTTGTGTCCACTCAACCAGCAGAGCTGCAGGGGGGCGGACCAGACACAGACCTTGTGTGACCTGACATTTACCTGCTGGCTGCACACAATTTCACGGACGGATTAATACACTTGCATTACTAGTAGTATTAAAAAAATGTTGCTGTTGTACTCTACAAGTCAGAGTTCATGCTAAAAACAGATTGATTGTACTGTCTGACAGTTGCTTGTATTTGTGCTATGGGTTCTTTAGAGCAAATTATGAAAAATATAGTGTTATAATAAACCAAAATACTGCCTCGTGAAGAGTAACTTTGGTGTGTCTGCTGCCACCTGTTGGCCAAGCTGCAGAAGAACATCTTTTAGAGCAGCAGGGTGATGCAGCCACCTGTACTTCATTAGAGGAGTAAGCATCCACAGATTTACTGTATTATTAACACAGTGTCTCTGTACACCCTTAAATGCTAATAGCAACAGTCGAATATGGTGAACTTGGGAAATAGGTTGAAAATACTGCTCATATTTATCATATTTCAGATGTAAACAATAGGCATGGGGAGCAAACTTATTAGTATTATGCTTTGGAAATTCCCCAGACTGTGGTGATTACAACTGAATTCCCTCGAAATGTATTTAACGTGATCAGTGCAGATGTTTGGATCCCATAGTAAAACTCAAGGACTGTGCTTTAGGACACTGCTAGGGGTCAAATAATACACTAATTAATAAACTTCACTCTCTTCCAACTCACAAGTAATAATACACATATTGTTATTTGACTTTAATACCATATAGGTAGCTTTATACTGTACGAGTATTAGATGTTTGGACTGACGGATGAATAACACTGGTGTAAATAGACTAAAGGTAAACAGACTACTGGAATATGATATGACAGGTTATTCAACTTTATTGTCCTCCATGTGGAAATTTGGTTTCACCAGGAAGCCATTACACAGAACAGTATGCAATAACACAAACATGAAATGTGAAAGAAAGCAGCTCGAGATGCTGCTCTTCACTCTTCGGTCTCAGCGATACCTGTGGGACTCATTTAACCCTCTTAATAAGTGCTAACATATCTCAGCGGTCTATCACATATCAACCCAAACCTAAAGGTATTCACAAACATATTTAGATTGTGTTGGTTTTTTTCTACCAAATAAAGGAGTTCTTTAAATTATTCCTCAAAATCAATCTAACTCACCGGTATTTATGATTTGTAATTGAGCTCCGAGGTACTGTGTTCACTCAGTCACGGCCGTTTCATGAGTTTGCAGGTGCACCTTCAGATTAGGCGCAAACCTGTACCTCATGCCACAAATACAGCAGCTATATGGCCTCTCTCCTGTGTGTGTGGTCCTATGTCTAGTCATCTGTCCGCTTTGGCTGAAATGTTTGCCGCAAATGTCACACGGGTACGGTTTTTCTCCCGAATGGTATCTCATGTGTGTTTTGAGATGACTGCTGGTGTTAAAAAGTTTGCCACACAGGCCACATTGATACGGTTTCTCCCCTGAATGACTTCTTTTATGAATCGTAAGGTTCTGGCTCTGGCTGAACGCTTTCCCACAGATATCGCAGTGATACGGTTTCTCCCCAGAATGGGTCCTCACATGCACGATCAGATGCTCTCTTCGGTAAAATGTCTTGCCACATTCTTGACACACAAACTCCTTCTTGCCCGTGTGTATTCTCTCATGTAGCCGGAGACAACGGACATTGGCGAAAGTCTTGCCACAAATGTCACAAAAATATGTTTTGTTGTGGCAACCTTTCACGTGAGTTATCAGCTCATTTGAAGACAGGCACGTCCTCCCACAGACAGTGCAATCAAAATTGTTCTCATGTGTTTTTATGTGCTTCATCAAGGAGCCGATGTACTGGAATCCCTTGCCACAAAAATGGCAAAAACTGCGACCCTTGTCACTTTTAGGTGAACTTTTGTCATTGGTTAATGCTCCTTTGTCCTCATTGACGCTGCCACTCTGATCTTGCAATGTCTTTCCTTTCCTCTTCATTGTTTTGGTCTGTTCTCCTTTGTTATTCACCAACTCCTCATCACTGTCATTGTTCTCACTCTGAGCCGCAGACCCGTCTGAAGAAACTGGTCGCATTTCATACGATACTCGCGTCTCTGGCTGTTCTGGCTCACTTTTCACAACTTCAGGAGAGGGAAAACCCATCTCTTGTGTTTGACTGTCACCCCCAAGTTCCTCCTGCTCTTCTTTTATCTCCGACATCAAGAAGTCTGTCTGAACCAAGCAGTAGTTCAAGGTATCGTGGTCCGGATCTGCACTGGTTTGAGAGGCTCCCGGGACCTCGGCACCCAGACTGGAGTTAGACTCTTCTGGTGTTGAGGGTCCTGGGTTCTCCTGCAGCTGTGATGCAGCACATTGGTCTCCACTTTTAACTGTGCTGCTGGTCAATGAAGGCTCTGCAGCTACAAAAGAAGGGACAGGAGCAAATGTTAACCCACAGCCTTTCTGGTAAGTAAGTCATTTTCTAAAAAGATACACACAATACAAAAAAACCTCAAATTTAGAGTTACAATCAGGAACAGCGAACAAGAGGGGCGCAACATCTGTAGCTAACGTTACATAGCTAACGTTACTTCTTCTAGCACTACACTGCTAACGTTACATGTGGAGATCGGTACGGCAATGCGAGGGCCAAACCGCTACTAAAACAACACATTCAGCCAGAGTCTCAAACCTGATTTCTTTCGCAGGAAGTCGAGCGGGTGTCGCAGACTTTCAACCTCTTCTTTAGACCGACTAACTTCTGCTTCGTACATAGTTAACGTGATGGTTTTCTCCACCTCTCCGAGGATCTCCTCCGCCGCTGCGTACAGCCGCTGGTGAACAAACGACCTCAGCTGAAACATCGTGGCGTCCATGTCTTCTGGAGAGAATCACAGCACAAAACCATTAACGTCTAGTAGCTGGGATGGCAAGAAGATAAAGTCAGCTAACCTAGCTCAATGATACAGCTTGTGATCCGCTAGCAGCCAATTTAGGACTTCCGGTTTTTAGTCGTTCAGAATAAAAGTGTCAATACATACATTACTAACATGGTAATTATGCTGGACATTGGTGATGCAGCTTTGTATTTGTTGTAAATTGAACGTTAACTTTAAACAGTTCAGGCTCTATGAAAGTGGGTTTACAATTTTTATTTAACCAAAAAGAAACCCAGTTTACAAAAGTAGGAACACTATACTGGGCCCATAAACGAGGTCAACCGAACAGAAGTTATTTAAATCAAAATTGTTTTCATGTGTTTGTATGTGCTTCATCAAAGAGCCAATGTACGGGAATCCCTTTGCCACACAAATGGCAAAAAATACCACCCTTTTCATTTATAGCCGTTTTATTTTGAAGGCCGGGCTCTTAAACCGGATGTCTTATTGTTGTCAGTTGGAATGTTTCTGACGGTCCAGATAACGTTTCACTACGTCAAAGAGGAACCGGCCGGTACAAACTGTCTGTGGAGAATCAGGGATGTCGTTTTGTAGTTTTTTCGGTGGAGAGGTCTATAAAGACCATTTTAAACCAGGTACCTTCATTACTTTAACTTCTTGTACTTCATTCAAAATGTCTGCCTAACTTGTGCTGTTTAGAGACTGTTAACCAGAGTTAACCATAGCTAGCCTCTGTTAGCTAACTATTCATTGCAATGTTAAATAACTTTGGTTCGGAGTAAAGTATCGACTCCTGTCCATGTAGGCCACACGTGTCAAACTCAAGGCCTGCGGGCCGAATCCGGCCCGCCACGTCATTTTATGTGGCCCGCGAATCCTCCAGCAAAGAAAAAAAAAATTTTTTTCTTTTTTTTTTTTAATTTTGGAAAAAAAAATTTTAATTGGACTTGAAAATAAAAATATCCCCATGGTCGAAATTATGAGATAGAAAGTTGAAATTATGAGATAGCATGTTGTCTGTGTACCGACATTAAAACTATCACAACAGGTGGACAGGAGAGGCAACAGCCCGTAAAGAGGTTCTCCAACAAGTGATTGAGTTGAAAAAGATCGACAAATAATCCCAAAATGTCCACGAAGAGAAAAATTGATGCAGAGGGAAGAAGATGTAATTTAAAATGGGAAAGCGAATACATGTCTGTGCTTCAAGGAGGAAAACAGGTCTGTCTTCAGTGTTATGATGCGTGTCGGTGATGAAGGATACAATTCACGTCGGCATTTTGACACCAAACACGGAGCTAAATTTAGCCTCCAAGAAAAACATCAAATTGTCCAAGAATTAAAAGGCAGACTGCAATCAAAGCAGAATATATTTACACAAGCTACAGCCCAGTGCATGCTAAAGGTCTGTGAGCAGGTGTGCTCCGACCAGGTACAGACTTTTACAAATGTCAGTTTGTGAAGAAACACCATCGCAGACCGAGTTCAGGAACTAGCAGCAATCTAACAACACAGCTAGCTAAGAGACGAGATACATCATCTATCCATGTTTATAAGACCTGACTCTCAGTGAGGAGCTCTTGGATGTAGCTGCCATGCACGGGACGACGACAGGGAGGGACATTAGTGATGCAGAGAGGTGACAAAAATAGCTTTGAACAAAGTCAATGTAATAACTTGTGTTTGATGATTGTTATTTTCTTTAAAAGTTTGATCTTTGATAGAGTAATGTGGGTTTCTTAACCCTAAATTAAAATGATTTATGTTATAATAACAGAAATGTGCCTAAATATATTTTTACATTTATATAACTGCATGTACAATATTTTTACACTTGAATAAACAATAATCAAAAGCAGAGACAGTTATTTACCAATATGTCAGGAGTAGTTACAGTTATGCAGTCTTACAGTTACAACCGGCCCTTTGAGGGAAACCATGATGCTGATGTGGCCCAGAGTGAAAATGAGTTTGACACCCCTGATGTAGGCTGTAGCCACCAGTAAGAAGTTTAAGAAGGCTCGACACAGTTTGTCTAGTCACATACAACTCGACAAATTGTTTGGCATGGAATGTAAATGGAAAAAAAAAGGTTGTTTTGTAACCCATGCTCAGGTTACACAACAACTCTGTTACAAAACCGGTTTTTGTTTCCATCAAATGAGAAGTTGACTTCCTCTTAAAAACACACCCTTAAACAAATACAACATTATCTATACACATCATTACTACCAACATGTTAAATATGAATACAACATATCCTTTAAAATACAATAGTAACAAAACATGGTCACAGCTATCAATGTTAAAAGGAAACCAACATATTATCCCTAGTTGGTACTACCTTGATGTCAGGTCTGAGGTCCTTAATAAAATGACCTTTTAAATAGTTCTCTCCTCATGCTGCACTCAAATCATCATCTCCCATCCTTTACTCCTCAGGGGTTTATGTATGCTCCAAGTGTGATCACCAGCTGTTTACCAGCCGCTCCAAGTTCGAGCACTCGTCTCCCTGGCCGGCCTTCACAGAGACCATCCATGAAGACAGTGTGTCCAAACACCAGGAGAGACCTGGGGCATATAAGGTACAATCAAAAGAAAATGCGTTTCATAAACCTATCAGAGGACGCTCAATATAAGTGTATTATGTTCCTGTCTAAAGGAACTAGCTGTAGGTAAACACGGTACAACCCTTGAGAGACTAGTGATTGTTTAGTGTATCGACTGCTGACCGTATCGCAATGCATGAATTCCTGATTCTGATGTCTGATGTGTTGTTCCAGGTGCGATGTGGGAAGTGTGGAAATGGTCTCGGCCATGAGTTTGTGAACGATGGGCCAGCCAGAGGCTCGTCTCGCTTCTGAATATTCAGCAGCTCACTGAAGTTCGTCCCTAAAGGTACGATAGTCCGATTACATCACCACACCAGGTTACAAGCACGGTTTGTGCCCTATTACACTGACTTTGTGTCATGTAGGCCCTAGGAATGCGTATTTACATATTTTACAGCAGATACCATGTGACCGATAAATCAACTGGGCCAATATATCATAAATATTTGCTTATTGTCATATTTACGTAGCAGCATCAGGCTTTGTTTTAGGCCAGTATCAGATGTAGATTTTCCGGCAGGTGAAATTATCAACGGCCAAAATGTCTGTTGGGAAACGTGAGAACTAACATGTTATTCAAATAATCTCGAGAGTCTGCGCCCCGTTGTGCATTTACAGATGTTAGATTTCTGCTGGACTGCTTTAACACAGGTGGGTAAAGGAGAGTCAACTATATGTTTGTACAACCAGCTAAATGGTTCTGTTCTCTCGTCCCTCCACAGATAAGGTTGATGGACAGTAAGGTGAGCTGTTAGAGGGAATCGCTGCTGGACTCATAGAAGTCTCTCTGTGCTGCTGAAGGTGTGGACAGTGGATGAAGTGTTCTGGGATAAAGCCCATCTGGAGCGCCAGGGCTCTGATGAATGATGGCCACACTGGACAGCAAGAACAGACCGGTCTCAACACCTTTTTTTAAAAAGCAATCATCACCATCTCAGGAAATGATTATTACACAATCACCAGTTTAATTTATAATGATTGAGGAATGTCTCACGGTGAGATTAGCTTTCTTATGATGCTATAAGCTATTTATTACTGAGAGATGAAACACGTCTGTTTATTTACCTTCAAGTCTGATATGCAAACTAAAATAAATCTATTTGAAATTAAAATAACACAATGCTCTCTGTCTTTTTCTACTGTCTGAGTAGTTTTAGTCCGTAATGTCAGTCACTAATTAGACACTTTTTGTTTGAATTTACAGTCTTCTGTTCACTTCCACACTGATCACCTGTTTTCTTTACCCACGTCATATAAGTTATTGTTATCCATATTGTTTTTAAGTTAAAAACACATTTTGGCTGACTAAACAGTACATCGACGCTGACTCTCAGTGATGTAAACACTGCCATCAAGTGGAAGCAATGAGAACAAGACGAGATCTTACACAAGGAGGGCAGAGCTGCTGACACTTGAGATCTGCACCTGCTGGTTTCTTCCGGCTAGAGCCGAGTGACTCTTTGTAAACATACGCGTCAAACCACAGAGAAATCACGTTGGTTTTGAAGACACAAAGACATTTGAAATGGATGAAATGTCATATTGCTCTTTCTCTGGTGGAGAAGAATTTAAAAATCACTTCCAAGCCGGTGAGTAAAGAAGCATGAAGTCCCACCGTAGTGAAAATGAGAGTCCGTTCATTGGCACCTTTTTTTTCCTCTCAGGTATATATGTGTGCTCTGAATGTGGGCACGAGTTATTTTCCAGCATGTCAAAGTTTGAGCACTCTTCTCCTTGGCCAGCCTTCTCGGAGACAATCCACGAGGACGGCGTCTCCAAACACCCTGAAGCATGGGGACTGCTGAAGGTAGATTGCCTCAGCAGAAGTAGCCCTGCTGGATGTTTGTTGTAATACTAAATGGGATTTACTTCAACACTGTACCTGTTGGTAATCATTTTTTCTATAGGTTTAGATCACTGATTCAAACATCCTGTGTTTAGATATCCCAGGTCTGTTGTGGGAAGTGTGGCAATGGATTGGGCCACGAGTTCTTGTACGACGGACTGACAGAGGGGCTGTCACGCTTCTGACTATTCAGTAGCTCACTCACGTTCATCCCTAAGAGTGAGTCTATGTTTCTCACATACAGTACACTGCACACTTATCATGCACCTTTTGACCCACTTTTTGTTTTGGGCCTCTTCCACAGAAAAGGTTGATGTACAGAAAGGTGAGCTGTGAAAGAGCAGGAGCAGCAAGAACAGACCGGCCTCAACCACTTTAAAAAAAAAAAAAAATAGGAGCACAGAGACAAACACAAAAAACGCAACTACGATCCAAATCCAACCACATTACGTTTTGCTGCACAGAAACACTAATCTTTATCGTAGCTCCTTTAAAAAGAGTTTACGGTTCAGTTATAAGTATCACAGGGTAAGTCACATTGTTTGCACGCTTCACTGCACCACTCTGGATCTGTGAAAGTATGTTGGACACACTGTACTTCATATTCCTCTTCAAAAGTGTAATTGCATAATCCCATCAGTTGATGGTGCTATGTGCCCGAAAAACACATCTTAAATGTTCTGCAACTCACCTAAATATTACTTTGTGGACATATTTTGCTCTCTCCGGAGTTAATAAAGAAGACTTTCCCGCTATGAGAGCTCCATGTATTCAGAGCACAAACGACATTACTTCATGGTGCCTTTTTTTTGACGATGCTCTCGATTCACTTTGAATATTTTCCTCTTTCAATTAAATGTACTCCAGTAATTGTAGAGGATTCCTAAATCCTGCCTGCAAAAAAAAACGAATAATGTTTCACATGTAACAATGCTTTTGATTGATCATAAAAGGCCTAGTTTGTTAATGGAATTTTGTTGACATTCTTGCTAAAAATCCACTCATTACAAGTACAGGAAATATCCGAAAAGCATGTCGATAAAATGTGTTCACGCGTTCCAGACCTAAGAGTGCTCACTGTTTTTCTACTGGGCAATGTTTTCCAGATAGCCGCTTCTTGGCTTGTGGAGTGGTGGAATTATAAACAAAGCGAGGATGTGGGGCTGCGTTCAACAGCTCTTGTGCTGTTTAAATGTCTGGGTAAGAGCAGGTGTGGATCTGCCTGTTTCAAAGGCTGCAAGATCAGAGGGGGAGATGAAAGCTGCAGTCCGAGGCCGAGGATTAAGAAAGGAAGTGCAAACATTCATAGATTGTAATGATGTGTAGTTGTACAACATTTAAAGCAAAGACTGTTTTGTGCATTTGATGTGATGATTTTGTCTGTAAGATCAAAACTCAGAAGGAGCAGCTGTTGCAAAAGTATTGTTTCAAATTTCACTTTGCCTCAAGTGACGATGGAGTAATACCTGCACCAGGAGGGTATTACTGACTAGGATGTCTTTGTCGTGGATTCTCAGTTGTAACGCCCCACACACAGCTGGCACACAGACTGACCTGTCCTCAGGGGTGACGTCTGGTGAAGGAGGGTGAAGGAGGGTGAAGGAGGGGGGCAGCGACAGACTCAGACAGGGACCACCACACAAAGATAAACCAGATGTGAGAAATGAGATATGAAGCGGAAAAAGGAAATTGGCAAAAACACGGGACTGTAATTAGAGTTTGCTATCTGCGAGAACACCCTTTCTGGCCGGCATCTGAGCACAGCTGTATGGCCAAGAGGAAGCAAACAGGAAGGAGGAAGTGGTAATCCTCTGATAGAATCACGAGACAGACTCGTAACCACACTTTTCCCTCCACTGACCTCTAGGGCCCATCCTGCTCGAGAGCACATCCTTAATTACATTAAACCGCTACTACTCCAAAGCCTTCCCCAGTCCCACAGGCCAAGCCTCAGGGTGCAACTTAAACATGTGTGTGCGTGTGTGTGTGTGTGTGCCACTGACTCATTCGCAGGGACATCTTGTTTTAATTACAACGTATATGAGGCCTGTTGCTTAGATGTGGATGTTTACGGGCACTGCACCTGCTTCTGTTTTGAGCCACAGAGAAAAGTGTCTCATTCCGTGTCCACACGCCATGACATTATATCCAGTTTCATCAAGGTAGCATCCCCTAAAAACATCTGCCATCCAGTGGCTCTGATTCACTCACTACAGGATCTGTGATCGCATTGTGGGAGGAAATACGCTCCTGAATGCGTGACTGTAACAGAAATAGAGAAAGCTTCTTTCATCAGTGAGTAGTGTGAGTTACCCCGCTATAGTGTGATGTCTCCATCCATACATGGTGGGGCTGCCCTCCACATGTTAAAGACCACATATGTTGGCCAAACATCTGCCTGTGTAACGATTAAAAAGATAAACGAAGCTTTTATACTTTGACACTGGAATTTGATATGTGTTCTGGATCAAATAGAGAGTTCTGGAAGCTCAAGGCACTCCAGTCGGGGATTGTTGTAATTCTGTCAGGACAACATGTGGTTGAAGGACATGGAGCTCATGAAAACCCAAATAGAATAGAATAGAATTTGCTCGTCCTCTCTGAAAGGCCCAGCAGTGAACCGCAACGGGAAATGTGTAGTTTACTGAGCATATAAACAGATTTTATGCAGTGTGTGGGTATATGAAATGCATATCTTGACAGCCTGTGTTGGTTATAAACGCCGTAAATGTGGAATGAGGAGTAATAAAAACGCAATTACACTGAGGAAGAAACAATGAAAAACCACAATTTTCTGTTCAGTCCAACAAAATGTCAACAGTTTAAACATGGGAGGGACTGCGCAGCGCAGCAAAGCCAAAAAGCGCCCCGTGAAATCCCAAGTATGAGGGCTCCCAGTAAAGAAATAAACAATGAGAACTTTCAAAGATTATTTTCAACGGCTTCTGCCGCTTTGTTGTCACCTTTATCACATGATCACATTCCTGTTTCTGAAGGCCACCAGCTTCAATAACAGAGGATTTTGAACATGCGTATTTGCAAACATCGCTCACTATCTGCACTGTGATCTACTTAAGAGATAGAGCCAGAGACAGCAGCACAGGTTGGTCTGAAAGCTTCAAAGGAATACTTGAGGTGTGTGGCACTGGCATTGTTCACGCAGATCAGGGAGAGGGGGGGGGGGACTGAGGGATAAGAGAGATGGTTCAAAACAGGAGAAGAAGACAGGCTGATTGTGTGCCCACATGTCAACATTGATCCCACCTTGATCACAGAGCTTTGAGAGGCCTCAAAGGTGGGCAAACTGCGGACAAGCTGTGTGCATATATTGTCAAACAACTGCTCTCTTCTACTTTGTGTTTCCTGTGTGAGTTTCAGAGAGATCAAATAGAGCCTCAGGTAAAAGTGTGCCAGAAGCAAGGAAGCGTTTATCAAACGCCCCCGTCTTCAGAGTATGGAAATATCAGGATGGTTTTAGATTTTGGCTAAATGATTTAAAAGGAGGCTCGGCTCACAGATAGTCGGGGCGGTGATGGACTGTGGAAAATGCTGTTTTTGTGTGTCCACAAATGTCAGAGGCTGGAGAGGTTTATGGCACGTAAAGAAAAAAAAAAGGTCTGACAGAGACTGAACACTAATAAGTAGAAGAAAGTAATTACCTCAGTCTTTCCCTGGGTACGGTGCCACAGAACGTCTTCCCACTGCCCACCCAACCTCTTCCCACCCATGCACCCACCCACCCTGCTAACCCCAGCTCCCTGCTATTTACGGCTGCTCATCCTCTGTCATCTTGGTTAGTAATCCCAGTGTGTTCCATAGGAGACAACTGCAAGCATATTTATTCATGCCCTTTTTCCTATGTGTGTTTGCAACGTATATGTACATGTCAGTATAACATTTTGTGAACTCCCCAGAGGCCCCAGATGGGTGGTCTTAATAGTCAAAATTGCTGCTTTGGTCATGCTGATTGTTAACTTCTGTGCAGAAAAATGTTCAGAAGTGCCTGAGCTCTTTATTCTCCTCAGTGATTATAACCCAATCAGGAACCTATAATCATAACCAACATTATGAGACAGTTACGAAGGTGTTCCGACTCAAGTTCTTCCCTGCAGATGTTTTTTATCAAACACCATCAAGTGGTGGGGAAAGAAGAAACGGTTATGGGGAGAGATAATCTGCCAGAGCAGGCCTCTATCTGTGCTTTTGTGAATGGTGTGTGTTTGTGTGCATGCGTTGTATCCCAACGTGCCCTTAAAACAATAGTTTGACATTTTGGGAAACACACTCGTTCCCTTTCTGTCGGAGAGTTTGATGAGAAGATTGATTCCACTGTTATGTTAGCTCGTTAATTATGAAGCCACAGCCAGCAGCAGGTTAGCTTAGCTGAGCATAAAGACTGGAAACAGGGGGAAACAGCTAACATGGCTCTGCCTATGCTAAACGTCTGCACTGTATCCACCAAAAATGTCTATCTATGCCTTTAAAGCACATCTAGCCTCGCATTTTAACCAAAGAACATTAATTACCTGATTCAAATAAAGCATTTAAATGTGTGTGTGTGTGTGTGTTGGTTTGTTTAATCACATCTGGATCCCCCTCGTTGTATGAATGAGGGGAATTCCACATACCTCTCCAGCTTTATGCCCCTCAGCACCTATTGTGCAACACACACAGATGCGCACTGATTTGATCTTTTTCATAGTAACTCCTTATGGTAGTCAACATTAGAGCCAGCTATCTTAGCATTTAATACCCGCTTTTATATATCAAAAATAATCCTTGAAAGCATGATTAATATATCTTCAGCATCAACGTTTGGCACAGACAATCTCTAACGCAACACATTTGCACTTTATTCTTTTACTTTTGTGCCAGAAAAGCAAATACCCTCTAATCTCACCTGTCAGTCACTCTGAAGTAATTGTTTCTCTTGATCCCTCGAACTCTCCCTTTTGGCTCGTCAGTGTCCCGGATTTGTGCGGAGAACACCGTGTTACGCCAAACACTAAAGACAGTGAAGATAAAGAGTGCACTTTGTGTAATTTCCTCCATATCTCAGGAAGTGAGTGATCGCTTGGTCAAGACAGAATCCAAATTAATTTTGAATGTATTT